CTCTATAAATGCCCTTTGCCTCCCAGCTCTTTCCTCTATTTCCCTTGATTCCAGGAGCAGTCTTAGAAAGCCACAAGGGGCAGTTGTACACTGTCCTAAGGAGTCACTATGAGTCTGACTTTGCATTATAGTTGTCCCTATGCAAATACTTCTGCTATGAAAATAAGGTATTGGGGGGATATGGCCACCAGATAACAAGCATGGGAAGATCTCATCAAGTACTAGAGTTACCACCAAGTGGGAATGCTCCACTCCCTGTTGGTTTACATGCCATTGGGTAGGCTCTGACCTATAGCAACCCTATGCACAACAGAACGAAACACTGCCTGGCCCTGCACCATTCTCACAATTGTTCCTAGGCTTGAGCTCATTGTTGCAGCCACTTTGTCAATCCCTTCTTTATTTGCTACCTCTCTACTTTAATAGACATGCACTCCCTGGAAGCCAGAGGTGTGGGGGGGATACCTCAAAAGCTAAGTAAACCAGTTACTATATATATATATATATATTTTTTTTTTAATTAAAGTCAGAGATGAGCAATGCCGGCTGACTGATCTGACCCCCCTTCACCATTGGCCAACCTACAGCCCAAGTCTTTCCCTGTAAGCCCCTTCTTCCTGCAAGAGCAGATACTTCCCAGCTCCCATTGCAACTTGCCCAGCCAAACCCCTCCTCTTGCTGGCCTCTAGGATTCATGGATAGCAGACTGCTCAGGTAGCTTGGCAGACACCCTTACAGACCAGGCAAGGCTTTTTGCCATTAAGCATTTTTTCCTTTTCTTTTTCTTAACTTCCTTCCTCTCTGAAACCCCTCCCCCAATGTGCATCTCTCCCCCTATGCAGCAGGCATGTGCACATACAAACCTTGCCAAAAAGGAATTCCTACCCAAACTGTAGTTTTGCTTTTTTAACTTTTCAGTTCTTATATTCTTGTAATGTGAGCTATATTCCTTTACTGACTCAAACATAATCTTTCCATGAAGCTTCACCCCCTGTAGGCACAGGTGACCGTCCTGACTTTTTTTTAAGCCAAACTTTTCTTCCTGGCCCCTGAAGGCATAGAGCCAGTCATGTTCATACTACCATAGCAACAGAACTCAATAGCCACACCCAAGACAAGCCGCCATCTATTTTTATCTCCTCCTATGTTCTGCACATATACATTTCTCCCTATTCTTTCTTTGGCCTTCTTCTCCTTACTTTTCCCTTCCCTTTCTCTTAATCATTTCCTAGGGTCATGGCAGGGAGGTTGGGGGAAACTGGGAGCTAACTTAAGTTCAAGAAAGAAGAAAATGTCCTAAGATTGTTGTGTTGATTGCACTACTCTTCTTGAGATTGAATTATATAATATGAATTATATGCCAATAAAACTATTAAAACATAAGGCATTTAAACTTTATAAGACCTCTTAAACTTTATAGAGATAAGGAGTAGCGTAAGATAACGATCATTTGTAACAGAGTTCTCCAAAGTCTACCTTCAAATATTACTTTGCATCTATTTTGCTACACCATTAACAATGCTGAGTTTGCAAAGCTAATACAAATGATCAAACTCACTGCCATCAAGTTGATTCCGACTCATAGTGACCCTGTTCTATAGAACTGCCCCTGTACGTTTCTGAGACTGTAACCCTTGATGGAGTAGAGAGCCCAGTCTTTTCCCCACAGAACAGCTATCAGTTTTGAACTGATGACCTCTAGTTAGCAGCCCAACACATAACCACTATAAGACTCTTTATTTCAAAAGCCAAAGGGAGCAAGCAGAAGTTTTTGATTATGCTAAAATTTAGCGAAATTCTTAATCAAGCATAAAAATAAATACTTGTAAATGTTTTACTCAAGATAAAATAAAAACAATCCTTATTAGAAATGAAGACAATATACAGAGTGGTATATCGTGTCAATATAGTTGTTATAAGTAGAGGTAATCTTCAACTGAAAATGTACTTGAGTCATGACTCGTCCACTTTATGGATTGTTTGCTTTGGGTACATGCTTCTCATTAGTAATGAGTACTACTGTAGTCAATGTTAAAGTGAGAAATTTGCTGGTTTTTATCTTTCTCCGATGTTCACTCAATATGTTCAATGTTCTCATTTGCTGTTCAAAACACTGCCATCTACACTGATAGCAAAGTTCAAACAACCACAAAATAACAAATGCTGGAGGGTACAGTGAGATTGGCACCCTCACACAGTAAACCACTACAAAAGGCAGTATCGCAGTTCCTCCAACAATTAGGAATAGAAATTTAATTTGGCCTAGTAATTTCACTACTTAAATATATACCCTATGAAAAATAGAACAGATATGAACAGATGATCTTATGCTTACCAAAGCACTATTCTCAACAGCAAGAAGATGGAAACACCTAAATGCCCATCAGTAGAAGAATGGTTAAATAAACGTTGGTACCTACACACAAGGGAATTCTACCCTTTGTTAAAGAACAATGATGAAGCACCTCGTGACATGGATAGATTTGGGTAACATGCTGATTGTGAAGTTAGTCAATTACAAAAGGACAAATATTGTATGAGACCGCTGTTAGATAAAAATCAGGATACAATTTTTCATGTCCAAGGAAACAGACTGATGGTTACTAGGAAGTGGAGGGAAAGAGAAGGTAGAGGAAGCAGTAGGCTAGACGCTATTCTATCAATAGGCTATATTCCAGTCCTCTAGCTCAGCGGTTCTCAACCTGTGGATTGAGACCCTTTTGGGGGAGTTGAACAACCTTTTCACCAGGGTCATTTAAGAACCAAGACACCGCTCCTCTATCCATTTCCAGGTGGGTCCGCTCACCTGCAGATACGCCCAAATATGAGTACCCAGCATGAAGACTGTTACCTATGCTACACCATGCTTCAAGACAAAATTTCATTTATTTATATTTAGAAATAAATTTCACAATTTATAATTACATATTTTGTGATTAATCACTATGCTTTTGTAAAAATAAAAATACATCCTACATATTAGATATTTCCATTATGATTCATAACAGTAGTAAAATTACAGTTATGAAGTAGCAACGAAAATAATTTTATGGTTGGGGTTCACCACACATGAGGAACTGTATTAAAGGGTCGTGGTATTAGGAAGGTTGAGAACCACTGCTCTAAGTTACTGAAAGGTAGACCAGGGCTAACTTAGGTGAAGGGGAAGGTAATATCCTAAAAGAGGGAAAAAAGAAAGAGAAAAAAGGGAGGGACAAAGTGAGCTATTGGGAGATTTGATAAATTGTTTAAATGGTTAAATACAAGCATGATGATCTAATTCACAATAAAAAATTACTGCCCCTAGAGGCACTGCAGCGTGGCCACCCTGCTGCAGCTGTGTCATTAGAGGACAGAGAAGAGGGGCTATGTCTAGGCTCAGGAATCTGACGTGAACCACCTGACTGACTGCTAGCCCCACAGTTCTATTGCACCTGTTGACCCGGGCCACCTGAAGGGTGCGGAGGAGGGGGGTTCCCTGCTAAGTCATTTTGCAAAGTGACAAGATCCTGGCAGCTTGATGACAGGTGATGGGCACCATTGTCTTTGGGGGGCAGGGCACCTGAAAGGTGTCGCTGCCCACTTTAGGGAGGGTCCAAGCAAGCCCATGTCTAAGGCTGAATTGAGAGGGGGCTGGCTAGCCCACAGCTGATTAGTTGCAACAACAAAAAAAAATTTTAAAAAAACCCAAAAACAATACCACCATATGGCAGGCCATGAAAACAAAATAAAACCAACAATATTTGACTTATTTTAGAACCAACTTAGGGCAGTGTGGTCAAAATAAAACTCCATTATAGTCAGGGATTACCTGTATTTAAAATAATAACATATTCAAGGAAGAAATAAGAAATCCAGATACAAAAAAAATAAATTGTTCAAAATACTTATGAAAGAGGATAAGTTACAGAAATACTGAATATCATCCCTCTTCAACATGTTACTAAAAATTAAAAAGCACAAATATTTCCATCATTACTCAAGTCAGCTTTATTGTTCCTATAGTATCATATAAATGGAAAGTTCCTAATAATCTCAATCTCTTCATTTTGAGTCATGTAGAGTGGGGAGACACTTCATCATAGCTTCAGAGTAGAGCTCCCCAAACACTCATTATATCTTGATTTATAAGCAGAAGGTCATTACAGAAGGAGTGTTACCCACAGTAACCTGCATTTTAAGTCAAGGTACAGAGAACAGGCAAGGAGGGTATTTTTTCTCTCCTTCCCCTTTACCACACCTTTACTAGATAGTTAGGAAGAGCCCTCTGTTAAGATGCCCAAATGCCTAGAAGACGGTGAGTCCAGAGAAGCAGCAAAATGCAGACGAATCCAGACAGACATCGTGGTTCCCAGAAAGGACTTTTGATTTGCTAGCGAGTCTTCATGGGTTATGTTTCTGGCCTTAGGAGAATAAGGCCATACATCTTCTTGCTGTTTCTGATCTAGACGGTTCCTTCAGTTCTGCTGGTTTCCGCTTCTAGAGCAGGCTACTGCCGACATACAGAAGAAATGGTCTGGTGCTTTCAAAGCCTCGCCTTCAATTCAAGAGCCATCGGTCACGTATCTACCTGGGTAGACTTGACAGTGAATCCTGTTGCACACGAAGCCAAGCTGGAGTAGCATCTTGGAGCACTACTCTTGCAGCAGGCTTCGGGAGATGAGCATCCGCATCACTTCATTACTACCTGTAAGCAGGAAAAGGAATGAAGGGTTTGGCAGCAGCAAGGGTGAAGGCGCTCAGAGCGCTGACCAGGGTGAGCGGGGCTACCTCAGTGTAGCTGTGGGTTTACATCAGGATTAATGCACTTATCACTGGAAGGGAGGAACTTATCAGACTTCAAAGTACAGAAAAATGTCCAGAAGTAATGAATCATATTTACTTAAAAACACAAAAAAACAAACTCTCTGACAGAGTTTTTAATCCTGTTAGGGTAAAAGTCCTTAACTAAAAGTGGTAGGAGACAAAATTGTATTCCTGACTCTAATATTTTTAAAAATGTATACACACAAACAGAAAAAAAATGTTCAAAAGAAAACATAACAAACTATTAATTCCAGATGCTGAAAAGTGCGTAAATTTGTCTTTTATTTTTCCTATATTTTACAAGTTTACATGATTTCCTTGGTTACCCAAAAGTTACATTTCAAAAGAACAAAAGCCTCTTCCCTGAGGAAGGCAGTCTGTGGTGTATTTTTACCAGGGGCCAGTAACGCAAACAAATATGAACCTGCTTGAGCTATGAGCAAGTACACAATCTGAAATAAAATCATATCCAAAGTTTCAGATTCAATAGCAAAGTCCATGATGAAATAAGCCATCATGGTCGGTGCACCGATTCTTCTGAAGTGGATGATGGTGTCATCAGAAGATACACGGATCTGGCTTTTCCCATTATCTCTAGGTTAAAAGATAGACTTGGAATGAAGGTAGTTTTCCATACTCACAAAATCTGTGTGAGAAATACCTTCAGGACTAATAGGGAAAATGAGAAAGGAGAAATGTAATGTGTGTGTTTGGGACTGAGCTCATAAACATACTTTGGGAATGAGGTTAGAGTCGACCATAAACTTTTAGAGCACATTATTAGGACACAACACTAGAGCATTAAGTATCATTGTGATTCCTAAGTAAGCAGTAGCAGCCTCACTTGAAAACTAATAGGTACAAATGCCCAGACCCTAAGATCCTACAGAAGCAGACTCTCTGTGAGCGGAGTGCAGTGCCCTGTGTTTGAAACAGACCCTCCAGGTAATTCTGATGCAAGCTCAAGTTTGAGAAGGATTGCTTTGAGATGCAGAGGAAAACTAACGTGCTAACAAGCTTCTCCTTTCTACATATGACCTCTATTAAAGCAGCCCGCACTACTCCGGAAAAGCCACAGAGGAGAGCCCCTGCTGCCTCAGCTGCTTTTCCTAGAGTTTAACAACGCCACTTAGCATGCTAGGAGCCCTGGTGGCATAGTGGTTCTGAGTTGGGCTGTTGATCAACAAGTATGAAACTACCAGTCGCTCCTTGAGAGAAAGTCGGGGCTTTATACGCTAGCAAAGAGGTATAATCTTGGAAACTCAAAGGAGGTGGTCTATCCTGCCCGATAGGGTCTCTATGACTTGGCATCGACAGTGAGTGGTTTTGACTTTTTTTTCATTGTCGTGCTAGCTGGAGAGAGTAAAGGGGGCTGTAATACACTCTGACTCTTAATTCAGTCCCAATTGCTGATCTGAATATCTGTGACTACCAAGTAGACACTCACAACTTATTTATTACAACACACTACAGTGATGATACAGATATCCTTTAGGCAATAGGTTTCCAAACTTATTTGGCTTACTGCCTTAAAAAAAAAAGTGTCCCCTGGCAATTAAAAACTTTTCTACTATGGCTCATAATCCAGAATAAAGTGTAAGTATCTGCGTTTTCACCTCCCCTGGATCATTCCAGCCCTCCCCAGGGGAATGGCTCACCCATTTTGGGCAACACTGTTTCAGACCTTCTGGCAGATAATTTGTAGAGAAAAACTGGTCATCTCTGCCCTGTAAACTACTGTATAGCAGTGCGGGAGCCCTGAAGACCAAGTACTTTGTAGCAGTAAAGAAAAGTCACTGCAATGGTTTTCAAAGTGCTTCATGTATTATCTCAGTTTGACCCTTCTCTCAAACATACAAAGAGAAAAGGAAAAACCAGAGTGGTTAAAGGACGTATGCATGATGACAGAAAAGACGCAAGTCTACAATCCAGGCTTTCTGACTCGCAGCCTAGTGTTCTTTCTATTTCAACAACAGACCACTACCAGCACAGAGAGACTGGGGGACCAAAAAACCCCCAAACACCAAACTCACTGCCATCAAGTTGATTCTGACTCAAAGTGAACCTTAAAGGCAAGACAGAGCAGAGATGCTCTTGTGGGTTTCTAGGAGTAAATCTTTTGGGGAGTAGTAAGTCTCATCATCATTCTCCCAAGGACTTGCTGGTGGTTTCAGACTGCTGACCTTGCAGTTGACAGCCCAACTCATAACCCTCTACACCATGAGGACTCCTAAAGAAAGGGGTCTGAAAGGCAGAGCCCAGTGGAACCCTGAGCACCCATCACCATGAGGGCAGAAATACTGGTCTTAAAGCCATTGTGAAAGGACATGAATGACCTTTGGAGACTCTTACCTTCTAGGATTTGGTGGACCCTGGAATCTCGCATATACTGCTGAACAGCATAGTCTTTCAGGTAGCCGTAGCCTCCATGCATCTGTAGGGCCTGGTTACATATCTATAGGGAGACAGGGATTAATGTCAACTGTGGAACAGGTGACAATCTCCTTATCCTTGCCCCTGAATCCAGCAGCCTGTTACAAACTATTACAGAGGAAGAGTTGGGAAAGGGAATGGTGGAATCCCCCAAGACTACTATGGCCATTAGGCACCTGTCCAGTCTGGAAATGAACTCTCCCCAAGGCTCAATTTTTAGCCAAAAAGCAGCTCTCCGAATTGAAACGGGAACACAGTTTAAAATAATCGACCATTTGTGATCACAAAGGCAGCATCTACCCAAGGACAAAGTTCAAAGGGTTAAGAAGGGAAGAGAAATAGAATCAAAAACACAGGGAGGAAGTGGGGTAAATGATATGACATTGTGGGGATTACAATTAATGAGATGAAACCCAGGGTATCTGAATTACTAAATGGGAAACTGGTCTGCTCTGTAAATCGTCACCCAGTTTAAAGAGGAAAACATCCACCCACAATACACAGCTATGTTAGTCCCCTAGAGTTTCCATGGTCTGCTCAGAGCCAACAAGTGAAGTTACTATGAGACAGGGCAGGGGAGCAAAGGTGGAGATTTGGACAGAGCACGTGCAGAGTCTCGGACATCTTGGATTACATTGCTTGGTATGCAAAAAATAAAAAAATAAAATGCTTACTATGCATTGGGGTGGGAGGGTAAGGTAGGGTGGGCAATAAATAGAAAGTAAATCTTCCTGTTGTTAAGACAAGAACCTAATTCCAGTATCAGCATTAAAAAATTGTAGCAGGCAAATGAATTTCAAACAGTTTATTGTGAAAGCTGCACATCCAGTTCTGAGTCTCCACATGGTCAGGCGCAGGGGCAGCGGTCGTTCCCTTGGTAACCGGATCTGCCTTGGTGCAGCCTGGGGTTGCTTGGTCATGAGTCACTCACACGCTGACTATCTTAGTTGGAGGGCCTTGAACCAATCTTGTATTGAAAGTGTCCCAATCACGGTCCCATCTGCACTTCTGCAGTCCTGCTGGCAACTGTGACTTACTGATCAGCAGCCAATTATGCTGTTGCGCCTTTCCTCGGCCCTCCCATGCCACACTTAAGCAGCTGTTTTTGGTAAATCCTTGGATGCCATTAAGATCTCATGCTAAGCGTCTCCCTCATCCAGATAATGAGCCTTTGTCTTGTCCTTTGTGTTGTTGAAGACTTTTAATAAGTGTGCCCTATACGTTATGCTTGAGATTTCGCGTCTCCTTTGCCTCCTCCCACACTACTGAACCTATAAGCCTACCCAGATGGACAATTCAGCTTCCCTTCTGGCTGACGTTTTGCCAGGGAGGAGTGTCCCCAACCCTTCTGATGACACTAAGGTGCCATCTAGTGGCAATGCAGCCTTAGTGTAGGAATTACTTTTTCCGACATTTTAAACATGGCACCATGCTTGTTTTGAGCAAGAGGTCCTGGGCTGCAATGGACCTTCCAGAAGTACTGTTTTGTCGAGTATACAATTAAATCGCAATAATGTAATAAATGTATAATGGTTGAAAATCTAGCTATGAGAGCTTCCATGCAGGCCTTTCAACGTTTGCTGGGTTCTAAAGGTGGCTAATGCCTCTCAAAATCCTCAGGCTGCTCCCCACCATCCCAGGAGAGCCCACCAGCGGGATCACTTACAGTAAAGCATTCTTCTGTCACAAAGAGCTTGGCCATAGAGCACAAGGCCACAGCATTCTCCTGTTCCTCCTGCAGGGCTATGGCTGCCTGGCGGATCATGAGCCGTGAAGCTACCAATCTTGTTGCCATATCTGCTAATTTGAACTGTAGGTACTGCAGAAACATGGAAGAGGAAAATTGACAAGATGCCAGGGACAGGGAGGAGTGGGAAGAGGGTACTTAGACCACCACTTATCTGGGGCCCTCTACGAAAAATCTCCATGAAATGTCTTTGCTAAGATTGACCCAAAGCCTCAGTCCCTTGCACTTTCTACAGAGAACATTTACTGCATTGTAAGGTCTAACTCCATTTCATTTGCCCTGCGCATTTTAATGTATCAACTCCTTTTTAAAAAGTCATCAATAGAAATGATACACACACACACACACACACACACACACACACACACACACAAAAAGAAATGATGCACAAGCTCTGGCTAAGATGTGTGGTGGTCTCCAGAGACATCAAAGCCTTCCCCTCCCAGAGAATGTGGGTCACAGAATAGGTGTCATGGGCCAAAAGCAGTGGAAAGCAAATGCAGAGACTGGGGAGGTTACCTGATTACTGGCCAAAGGTTCTCCAAACTGCTTGCGGACATTCAGGTGGTCTCGGGTGAGGATGACTGAAGCATGAGCAGCCCCCAGAGAGCAGGAGGCTGGAAAGGAAGCGAGCCAATGGAACCAGAGGGATAGTGCAATAGGTCCCAGGCCATTACCTTCCAGCCTACCCTTCCACGTTCTTACCAACATTGATTCTCCCTCCATTCAGTCCTTTCATGGCTATCAGGAAGCCCTGCCCCTCGCTCCCAATTCTGTTGGCCACGGGGACAGCACAGTCTTCAAAGATCACAGCTCGAGTTGGCTGGGAGTTCCACCCCACCTGGCAAAAATCAGGGACTGTCTGCCTGCCCAATCATTCATTCATCAGGGCAGCATTCTCTGGTACACAGCCTGTGAAGTACAGGTTCCATTACCCTGGGACTTGGACCCATGAAAACTCAAAATAAGGAAAGATAAAAATTTTAGAAGGAAAGACTTGATAACTCTCACAGGGATCTCAGTGGGGCATTCATTCTAGGCCATCATATAAGGCCGCTGTGAGCTGGAGTTAAGTTGATGGCACACAACAGCCTACACAAAAAATGTCTTCAGTTAGAAATGTTTTAGAACCACTTTCTATTGTTTACCCTGCTCAAACCTACCTCCGGGATTGTTCATAATCTCATTTAGCATTGACTTCATTTTTGCTGTCTCTATGGGTATACTTTAAATATAAGGATTATATGGAGTAGTTTACTTCTAAAAGTCTTACAAACAATAGCTTCATTTCCCCTTTTAAACACTATCCACGCCTGCTATTGGGTGGATTCTGACTCACAGCAACTCTAAGACAGAACAGCACTCCCCACAGGATTTCCAAGATTGTGCATCTTGATTGAAGCGGAGTGCCACATATTCTTTTCATGAGGTGGCTTATGGATTTAAATTGCTGAGCTTTTAGTTAGTCGCCGAGTGCTTTCACTAACAGGACTTCTATGAAAACACTAGTGCAATTTGAAGTATGCAAAGTAAAACAAACCTACAACACTGAAAATAAGGGAAACATTGATGCCAATTTCAAATGAGGACAATTACAAAGTAAAGGAAATAGTGTAGTTAGAGAACTTTCCAATGGAGAGGCAATCCGGTCGATTTCAAGAACTTGGGTGAAGGGAAAAGCAAGGTACAACAAGAGGGAAGCTGACAAAAATACGATGCAGGTGGGGAATGAAAACTGGAGAAGTGTAAGAGTTAAAGAGCAGAAATAAATATGGTTGAATACACAATTCTACAATATTGGTGATCTAAAACAGCACAGATAGACACATGAGCTGCACAGGCGTGGGAGGGAGTGTAGGAACATTTCCTTATGGATATATAGGTTTAACATCCAAGCATATGCATGGACATGGTGGAACATACACCTACGAAAACTTCTTGGACATAACCAGGTGCCTTTTAAGAATGAGTCGCTGGTCTTGGGGGCACCAAGGTTAATTGGCATAACATAGTTCACAAAGTCTACCTCCTATTTTAGTGAGTAGTGACTGGGATCTTAAATGTTTATAAGCAATCATCTGAGGTGCAACTCTTGATCCTTCCCTAGATGGCGGAAAGAAGAGTGAGGAAAATGGAATGGACTATGAAAACATCAGTCTCCCCAACCCTGAGACCTGACGAACTAGCTGGGGTCCAGCTACCACTACCAACTGCTCTGAAAGGGATCATATTAGAAAGTCCTGAATAGAGTGGGGATGTTGATGTGGAACGAACCTCAAAATCATGATGGAGATTAGACTTGCTAGTTAGACAGAGACTGTTGAAACTATGGTCCTTGGTCACTCTTTTGATCTGGCACTGAATTCTCTCCAGTGGTTCAATTCTCAGGTCTATAAGGGGCACAATACTACTACTGATGTGTGCATACCTTAGCATCATCGATCCTTTGGGATGGAGGGGGAAAACATTACCTAAAGACAAAGTTCGGAGGGACTATAACAGAGGAGGAGGAACGGAGATAGGAAACCCAGGGATCAGGTAGGAAGTGTGATGGTACATTGCAGGGACTCAGATAAAATGGAATGGAGTGAGATAAAATGGAATGGACTGAGATAAAATGGAATGGAGTGAGATAAAATGGAATGGACTGAGATAAAATGGAATGGACTGAGATAAAATGGAATGGAGTGAGATAAAATGGAATGGGTCTGAATCATGAAATGCAAAACTAAGGATCCGTTCTATAAACCGTCACCTAATTCACATAAAAAGGTAATAACACAAGAGTTATTTAAAGATGTTAAACTTAGATGGGGGGATAATAACTGGCAACTCCTAGTCTCACACTGAGTTTACA